TAGTATTCCCCCACGCCCAATTAAAAGGACTCTCACCCCAATCGTCCCCCCTGATAATGGAAATCGGCTTGTCACGATAACTCGGCGTAGCCGGCTTGGCTTTTTGTCTACACCCGAAAGCAGGGACGCAGGCTGGGATACAAGCGGCAATAACGCCGGTTCCGACTTCGAGGATGGAGACAATGGATACGTTTGTTATGGCGTCTATCTCGTCGATTTGGGTTAGTGGATTGTATATTCTCGTACATTGACAAAAGGGATAGAGAGGGAGAAAAGACAAGAAAAGAAAGGAGAGTAAAGAAAGGAAAAGACAAACAAAAAAAACATACATGGCATATCCGGCGCTGTCAACCCCCTCTGAAAACAATTCCTCAAAGCATTCGAAACAGTCGCCACAAGGCCCAGACTCATCAGCCCACAAATCAGCGTCTTGCGACCCCGGGTAATCCTCACATGCCAGAGGATGATAACCGGTGCCGAAGTCAAGCAGAGATCAATCACGATCGTGAACCCAGAATGGACATACGATACGCTGTAGACGGATGTCTGGGACAGGCAGATACCGGGGACATCCTTGTTCCACAGTCTTTCCAGTGGGATGCAGGAGACAGTGAGGATGACGACCACACCGATAGTAGCCAGTGTCATGAACAGCATCAGCCAGGCGAGGATCCAGCGGACGGCACGGCTATTTTGGATTCGCAGGATGTAGAGGCTGATCGAGTACTTGGTTACCAGGGAGCAGATCACGTTGATCATTTGGTATATCGTGTTGACCTTGAGGATTTGGAGCACGGTGTGTTCTGGGTCCGGGAGGTAGATGACATGTCGGCCGAGGCCGAGGTTGGCTTCGAGTTGGATTGCTATGAGGCCTGCTAGGAGGGCTATCTGGTCTTGGCTTTAGTAGTTTCCTGGGTGAGGTTTGGGAGGGGATGTACATACCCAGGCGACTACGATACATGTGTCGTCCCAGCCCCAGTTTCTGGTTAGACGGAGGCGCACCCAGGCTCGTAGGAGAACCAGTGCCAGTGCGATTGCCGTTAGGGTGTAATATTCTGCCAGCAGGCCGGCAGTTGTGCAATGGTCTGGTGGGATTGAGGTGTCTTGGTTCGGGACAGAAGTCATTGTGTTGTTAGGAGTGGAGGGTGAGGTAATAGGCTTGCCGGGGCAAATATGAAAACAGATGCATTTTATATTGAGATTTCCTATGTTGATGAACGTTTGTATAGAAAAGCAACTGTTTATTTTGGGTCAAATCTCATCTCGTTACACACTTGGTGCATCCGCTATAACAAAGAACTACTAGGTGTCAATCAGATATAACCGTTGCATTCGATCGAGCTATGCCAAAATTATCAAGCATATACACCTTTTAGCTCATATTTCATTTTCCACACAGAACCAATGGCAAACGCTCTTCCGCGTTCATGATGTATCTAGTAGCAGTTTTAGGTCACGGGTAGCCGTTTACCCTCGTACAATCTAATCTTACTTGCGTATTCTTTGTTTTCGGGTTCTTTATCTAAATACCCAAAGTACCCCAAAGCTTGTCTAAAGCATATCAATGATGGGTAGACGATTCTTCATTGCTCCCCCAAGTCAGCCGAATGCGTCCTGTGCATCCATCCTGATTCTGAGTCCGAAGCTTCGTACCCTGTGCACATTTTCTCATAGGCCAAAGCCACACACAAGGTATTTTGTCTTTATCCTGATAGTAGGTTACCGCAATACCATCCATAGGCGCCGGGAGTAAATACACAATGGCAGATTCGGGTTGTGGAGATTAACTTGGGATTAGGAGATGCATTCGGCCACGGGCTCCAAGTCATCAAAGCCTGTGCCACCGGTAGGTTGATATACGGTTGTTTCTATTGATTTGAAATTTTAGGTCCAAGACTAGAGTATAGGATTGAGGAAGGTAGAGCTTTATTGGGTGTAATAAAATCTAACTTCCGTCGCTTTTGCGAAGCCAAGTGTCTGTCAAACTCCTGGTAGGTCGTATTGAAAAGGCTGGCCCTCAGCCATGAGTTCCACACACCTCTATTTTAAACACCTACCACTACTATCTATACCATAAGTTCAGAGAAACATCACCGGGGCAGAAGATTTGTATTGTTAAGGGGAGAAATTAATTGGGTATGTAAAAGCCTACGCCGAACGGTTGATCATGAGACGAAGATCTATCTGTGTGCTGCTTACATGCTGTGAACCTAGCCTGATAAATCAACCTTTCCTTCTATTCCTCCTGTAGATAGTAGGTGAAGAAATATAGTAAGCGCGCGTGCAGAATGACGACGGGTTCTTAATTGTGTATGATTAGGCTGCAGCAATCAGTGTAGCACCCAAACCGCATCCGACTACACAATCTCTGTATCATATTAACACGAGCAGTTTACATGAATGACGTAGGGAATGACTAGGGTCTCTACAGCTGGTGTGACCTTGGTTCGTTCTTGCCTTAGGTAGTTTCAACTGGCATTCATTGTTCAGGAGACCTGTTGATATCGAGTCTCATGATGTATCAAAAATTTGATATCATAAGTAATGCTTCATACACACGATCCCCACCGCATCACCAGGGATAAAGCGTTGTCGATCCCAGGGAAGAAGCCATGCCTTATAAAAATAGCCCTGGAAAAAGCAAATTTGCTGATCGACGCGACGCCTTCCATTGTGGAGCTCTAAGTTAGCAAATCTCCTAACCGTACTCTGTAGATCGTGTCTGGACTCGGGCGGCTGCCGCGAGGTGAGCTTCCTGCAAATAGATCTGCGAATACCCCTGTATTATGTGCTGAGTACATGGGACATGTCACATCCCCTCATCCTAATGTGGGCCTTAGCATCCACGTTCACCATGTAAAGCAGAACATTGGCTGGCTCTCACCTCACCAGAAAAATCGGCACTCTTGGCGGCTTCACACCGCTATAGACTATGGACGGCCATTCAGCTAGCCCACTGCTGCTAGGTGGCGATACCCTATCAATGACTTGCATGCTTGTAGAGGCGGACGGAAGCTGATGTATGCTGCAGCGAGACAAACTATTCAAATGCACCTCTGTAGGGGTATTGCCTGTGGACCCACCGAGGACAACTAGGCTAGCACGCAATTAACTAGTGTCGTTGCTTGAGTGATCGTCGGAATATCAAGGGTCATTCTGGTAACGTTGACCACACTATTGTGAATATATGAGAAATGTGTAGTGTGTAAATTAGACAGCAAAAGTACTCGTTATCAAGTGATGCTTAGAAATAATGACGGTAGATAATGCAAGACGAAGGGTAGCGGACAGCTTCGTAATACGAAGCTATGGATACTCTATAGACCCTTATGAGGGTGAATCTAAGATACTGTCACGGACCAAGCCAATATAATATAAGTAACTCACATCGAGTAAACCTTGCTAATTGTACAAAATAAGAATGTATAGACTGTAATAGCGAACTGGGGTCATGTGACGCAGAAGTACAGCCCTAAGGTCACTATTGTTCTGTGCTTTCCTTCGCGCGTCTCCAATCGTGACCATGAATATATACAACCCATAACACTGGGGAACTAACCAGACCGATCAAGGCGAAGAGCGTCCCCGTCCACCCGATGCCAATAGTGTTGATTAAAGGTATGGTTGCCGCTACTGCTCCAGCACTGGCTCCGTATCTGACTATATTAAGCGCTGCCATCGCAGTGGCGGGTTGATGAGAATGGAGATCTATGATTAGCATGCTCAGAACGTTACTAGTTCCGGCTGTTGCATTGCCCAGGAAAAACATCACCACCAATGGGGCCGACACATGGACGTCGTACTGCATCAGCCAACTGTAAGCAATCAGGCAGACAAACCAGAGGAATGCCATAGGCAAGATGATCTCAATGCGGGCCTTTTCTAGAGGGATCTTCAGTAACATGTGTTTTGACTGCTGGTTTCGGACAATCTCAACGCCAGCAAGCCGCCCGTGACGTTTGAAATTACGGTCAGTCCAGGTACCGCAGGTCCAGCGAGCTGTCAGGCCGCCAACAGCAAAGGGAATGTATGCTAGCCCGACTTGGAGTGCATTGAAGTTGTACTTGCTCTCAAACAGAAAAGGAATGCAGCTTAAAATCACATTCCAGCCGCACATGATAAATGTGCTGAATAGGATCAGAAACCCGAACTGCTTCGTCGCGACGAGCCGAACACTATCGAACACACCAGGCCTACGTCGAAACGTAACGAGACTCTGGTGATTGGGGCTCACTCGGTGCTTGGGGCGCAGAAGTGCCAGTACAGGTTGGTTCCAGCGCGGTGGAGGCACGCTCCCATCTCCTACAATGACCCGGCATGTTTCCTGGAGGAATCCGAGAATGAGAACGAGTATTATACCCCCGAGAATAGTCAGAAACCAGAATATACTGCGCCACCCTAGATACTGGACCAGAATACCTCCGATGATGGGGCCGATGGCAGGTCCAATAGTCCATCCTAAGGAGGTATATACCAAGTACCTGCCACGCTCAGCTCTTGTGATAACATCTGCAGTTGTTGCCGAAGAGATTCCCGCCACACCACTACTCCCGAGGCTTTGCAAACAGCGCAAGGTGATCAATGCTGGGAAGCTTGACTGCAGGGCTAGCGCGACGCTAACGATTATGTATATTGTAAGACACACAACAAAGACTGGTCGACGTCCTTTGAGATCGGAGACGCTTGCTGTTAGGAGCGGGGCTACTGCTTGTGCAACCTGCAGGTTCCAATTAATCATCAGCTTTTCAAAACAGGTGGCAGTACAAGGAGCATTTACCATAAAGGCAGTGATCGTGAGGCTCATCTGAGTCTTGGAGACATTCAGATCTTTGGATAAAAGGTCGAGAGCCGGGTAATAGATGTCAGAGGAGACAGGACCTAGAAGTGTAACAAGAGAAGCGATGAATATATAGAAAACCTTCTCCTTCTCGGATAGGACAGTATATTGTTCTTTGGGGTTTGCCTCAGAACTGGTGTTATTCTCTTCCTCGCTGTTGTCAGCTTTTCGGTGCTCTTCGAGAGGTACATCACTAATTGCCGACAGGGATTTTGATTGAGCCATCTTTGACATATTGGAACAAATGAGGATCTTAATAGCAGGCACCAAAATTTCTAAGGAAAGAAGGAAGTCATTCCCTCAGGATAAGAGTCCCTGGCTCATCTCTTACCAGCCTTTCCATTGACTGCATCGAGGGAAGGGATGCAAGCTAGGCTACACTAGTTTACTCAGGGGGTACGCACTACGTACCCTTGTTTTTCCGCTGTATGTCTTTCCCTATGAGGCCACGATTTTCGCAAGTTTGCTTTCATTCTTCTGAGCTCCGTTCTCTTGATATCCACCATTTTTCATCCGCAGTAAGGGTCTCTTGGAAAGATTTCGCAAACGCAAGTTGGAATCCACTACGCAACGCCAAGGTTGAAGGCATTATCACGAATTGACTCGCTATACTGTATATTTGGTGAGTGATGCGAGTCCAACCTCATCCCTTGCCAAGACAAAGAGGGAGCTTTTCTACGCCGTATAAAGTAATATAGTATTAAGGAATCTTGGCATGCATGAAGCATGCAGAGATCTACCAATAGTCAAAGTTTTCTGCGCAACCATATGCGCGCCACGCACCACTTGTCGTAAGTGTGCGTAAATGATCGCCGGACCTAGTTTTTATGATGGGTCTGATTGCTTGATGGAGCTCGGGCAAACACAAGTAATCTGATGCAGCTAAGAAAAGGGTCCAGAGAGTGTGGAATGTATTAACTGGTGTCGATAGCTTATAACCTCGAACTCTCCTCTATATATGAGGATGAAGCATAGACCTGACACAAGCCAGTTGAGGTTCGATACAAAAGCAAATATTAAGCTTATTAGCATTGCACAGTTCCATCAAAGATTCAGCAAGATGCAAAACAGCAAAGCTATTGTCAGCTCCAGGTTCCATATTCCCATTCCGTGTACCAATTTGGTGGAATACATTTTCGACTCGGAACCAACAAATGAATACTGGAACCCCGAAGATCCGCTCTTATTGTCGGCGGATGATCCGAGCTTCCCTGGCTATACGTTCGACCAATTGAAGACCTTCACGAAGGCTCTAGCATGCGGGATGCGGGAGACTGAGGGCAAACAGGTTGTTCTATATGGTTTATGGAACTACAACTTCTATATCGCGCTACTAGGATCCTTGGGGGCTGGAGCAGTCTTTTACAACTCTCCGCCTCTCCACATGGGCGGGTCGGTGTCTAGACTTGAATCTCTGAAGCCCGAGTATCTGTTCGTTGGCCCAGAAAGTCTGGACGATATCCCCGATATTCTGTCACAGATGGCTCATCCCCCACAGCATGTGTATGTGGTGGATACCTCCACACACAAGGGAGACGCCAAGTACAGATATGAGCATTGGAGCTCGCTGTTCGACTTTAACGAGGGGTTTTCGTGGCCAAGAGTATGTGACGAGCGTCTAAAGACAACACCAGCGTTGGTCTTGACTACATCAGGGTACGCCGTTTATTTGCTTCTATCGGTGCATTCCAAGTGAAGAATCGAGCCTAACTATTCGCAGGACTACTGGCAGTCCTAAGATTGCAGAACGATCACATTATGGCCTGATTGGGAACACGGAGCAGTTGCTCTATCGCTATAACTTGAAAAAGAGAGAGAAGGAGATCTGGCTCTGTAACTTCTTTCAGTATAGTATCGGGTTCCTTTTGTACGGAATTCTCGCTCCTCTCAAGGCCAGGTATGGGACCATTTTCATGAGAGGGTTTTCCGTGGAGAGGTATGCAAAGGCAGTTGAACAGTTGCGGCCCACAGCCTTGCATTCCCCGAAGCACATCCTGCAAGAATTGCTTGCTCACACGGATGGTGCCGACTTCTCCAGTGTGACAAGCATGCGAACTGGGGGTGCTTATATTCCATACGCCATGTGTGATGCGTGGCAGAAGCTACATGGGTCTACCTGTGAGGTTGTCTGTGGGATGACCGAGTATGTGCACCAGGTTCTAGGTTGAACTGTCCTTGTCTAATAACCAATATAGGGGCGGAATTCATTTTGCATCTGATCCAACCGTGCCGGAGACTGATGAAACAATCGGAGAACTTCTGCCCAACCTTGAAGCAAAAGTGGTTGATAACAAAGGTAGAGTTCTGGCAAAAAATGAGATTGGGGAAATATATATCAAAAACCCCTTTTTCATGACGAGATACCGCAACAACCCAGAAGAAACGAAGGAAGTTTTCAGCGATGATGGATGGATCAAAACAGGTGACTTAGGGAAGGTGAATGAAAAGAACAGATGGTATATTTGCGGGCGAAAGAAGGTGAAAACAGCCCGGACTTGACTTGCTTGGTCAACGCAGCTAATAGTTCAAAGGACCTTTTCAAAGTGAACGGCGGACACGTCTCAGCAATCCTGATTGAACAGGCTATTTCAGTCCATCCAGAAATCTCGGAAGTGGTGGTTGTCCCCGTTGTACTGTCAGTATAATCAGTTCAACTTATTTTGGCCTTCTCCGGATTCCTAACACTGAGCAGTCCGAATGAAGGCGAATTCATCCCACGTGCCTACATCGTCACGGAGCAGAATTCCTCGCTTACACCGGATCTGTTCTTGGAGTGGATGGAAAGGGAAGTACCCTCTGAAATGCATGCACGGGCTGGCGTGGAGTTCCTGGACGCTCTCCCCATCTCTGTGGTAAGTTTTCCCTATCAGTCACAGATGGTTTATTGATCGGTTTTCCAGGCTGGTAAAGTGGACCGTAACTCCCTCCGACGCAAAGCCAATTCTGGACCGCAACGGGCTTGGTTGTCCGCATTGTCTAGAAGCTGGGAGAACCCACATTGCAAACCTAGCCCGTTGCTGATCAAATAGATCATCTCCATGTGATTTTGTCTGAGCTATCATGTCCTAGAATGTGGCGGAAGACTTCATGGCGAATTTTTACTTGATGTTGTCGATGCAAGGCCCCTTGATTGGCTACTGGAAGGGGCAACAACCATATATCGCTAGAGATTGCCATGTAAGCAGAGTGTTGTTTAGAAGCTAAATAGATTAGAGACCTAGATGACAGGGCAGCCAAATTTCTGGCGAATGAAAATGTACCGGATGCAATCGTCAAAGATTCATGTATCCTTGAGTCTATACCAACTTACACTGACGTCAATCTGCGTAGTCAGCTTTAAGAAATTGGATTGAAAAGGAATACATTAGGTAGCTACGTAAGCCAGCAAATGTGATGCACGAGACTCATCAACAATCTGGTCGAGCTTCCTGCCTTTCATTTCCTGTCCCTACCGGTCAATTGCCAACAGCTACTCCGTAGAGTCCGTACGCGTGTCACCAAGCTGCGAAAGAGAGAAGGAATGAGCGGTATGGCGTGATTCTTGCGTTAGCCAGGCTACCAGCAACATTTTTTAGTCAATTTATATGAGATTGCGTGTACTAGCGACATGGAATCACAAATCCATATGTCGGATCAGCATCCCTTACTGTGCGCCTTTTCCATAATTAGCGATCGACCATCCCCTGAAGATCATTCCTGTAAGGATATAGGGCTCCTAGAATGCCTATAAATCTACTATCTGTACGGCCAAGGAAAGGCGTAATAAAGTCAATTCGATTCAATATTCATCGAACCGGATAACTTGACAACGTCTTACAACAAGCATTGCGAGGGCTACATCTCTTTGGACTACACCTTGCATGATTTGTATGACTTAATGGTGGAAATAGTTGTAACATCGTGGTTGTTCTTTTCAATCCATTCATCATAGATCCACAGCCTGGAACGGCTAGCTCAAACGGACAAAGATTGGGGAGCAAGAGACTGATACTTTTGTATGTACTTTGATGAAGAGCGATCAAGCGCTCAATGAAGCTGTATTAACCAAGGCAGAGTGCATTTTGGTCCTGGGAGATTTAGGATGGGGAGCCTCGTAGATCATTGAAGTTTAAAATTAAGCCCATAATTAAGACCGGATATTAGGTTTGTCCACAAATATTTTAAACCATCTACGTTGTCTATACATGCATATCTCTGTGCATCATCGGTCATCAGGGTCACAATAATATCATACAGAATCTACCGGTTCCTTGAGCGCCAGACACTTGACTACACTAGGTTCATCTACCCAAACTTTTAACCCCGATTTCTCCATATACGTTCTGTTGCACTATAGCACGAAAGCAAACAGAATATTAGTAGGGAAGCCTACAGCATACAATGTCCCAATAGTCAATCAATCAATCAATCAATCAATCAATCAATCAATCAATCAATCAAAATTCTATTAACCTGTTCGAGCCTAACTATTGAACGTCTAGCTATGCAGGTGCTTCAAAAGAGCCTAGAATCTAACCGTAAAACGCCATATGCCCACAAGGAAATAATCGAAAGCTTTTATCACAACTAAACCTGCCTGCCACCTGACAGCCCCCCTGAATCCCGTCTTCCTAATCCCTCATCATCCTGCGTCTCTGGCCCCTTCTAGTGTCTCCTGGTATGTAGATATTGGTACGCGTGCTGAGAGGGTTTGACCACGTCCTCCCTGGTGTGACTGTTTACGCATCGTCTTCCACATCTGTCCCCCTTTTGTAGTGACCAGTCAATGTCCCAATAGGTCTTGCGACTCTTGCCCTATCACCAGATGGTGAAAAGCTTGCAGTTGGGTTTTACAGGAGAGGAATTCGGATTTACGATACAACTTCCTGGAGGATGCTCCATACATTCTACACCGATGCGTCTTCAGTCTCGCCGTTTCACCTTGGAAGGCATCTTGCCTCAGGGCTAGGGTGTCCCGGTTATATAAGGATTTATGATATCAACACAGACATTGTGATTCGAAGACTTAAGGTCCATAAGGTTGAAGATCGTTCTCTTGTCTAATCAGTGGATGGTAGATAGACTGCATCATTGGCAGTATTGTTACAAGATCCCAGGGTTGATCTCTGGGACGTAAAGACGAAAACTCTCCTTGTTGATTCTGTGTCTACCATCCTTGAAGTCGTATTTTCATCGGATGGGAAATACCTTGCAGCTTCTTTTGTTGAAAAAAGTAAATCGAAGACTTCGCAGATGATACTATTGAGGGCAAGGCAGTTTTCCCGGTCAATAACTTCACAGAATCAGCTGAATTTAAATCCCCACTCCTGATGCAACAAGCATACAATGGTATATTTTGAATTCTCAGCTCTATCATGAATTTAAAAGTTGACCCTGGTTGATAGACTGAATATCTAGCTTATCTCAGTCTAGAGATTGGAGATAGGGAGCAGTATCCTTTGTCAAGATAAGCCACTCAAGTGGAATCCGCTGCAGACACAAGCTTTACTGCCTCGAAGAGACAAAAGAACTCCTTCAGAAATACCTCAAATTGATGGAAGATGTTTGTAATGACGACGACCTTGATGTTTCCGAAGAGGCAGAGCAAGATCTACAAGACTGGGCTATGGAGCCCTTCCTTGAGATCTTTGAAAAACTGGAGCCCTGCTCGAATCAACAGCAGATGACACTCCAGGACTACCTTTCCCCTGAGACTTATCGATATCAAGTATATGGCCAAGACGGTAAACTACAGCCGTTCTTAGACTATAATGTTCCTCCGAGCCAAATCTCAGATGGCATTTTTGTTGACCAAAGCAAACTATCATCACAGTGGCATTCGTTCCGACCAAAGGATATCAAAATTGAATGCCCAAGTATGGTTGAATCACTGTCTCAGTTCCCAAGAAAGGTCTCTGCTGCTGGAACTGTTTATCACTTCAAACCTGTATATTCAGGAAACCAGCCTGCTGCTCTACGAGAAATCGACATCTATAGGAAGCTGGACGATATTCTGCCCTGTGATGAGATCAGAGTTCCGGCTTTGCATGCTGTTGTTCGAGATGAAAGCGGCTCAGTACTAATTGGGCTTCTTCTCTCGTGGATTGAATGCGGAACTGAGAACTTGGAATGCATTCTGATGTCAGAGATGCCTTTATCATCAAGCTTAAGAGAGAAGTGGCGAATGCAAATTACCACAACTGTGACAAAACTACACGAGGCTGGTATTGTCTGGGGCGACGCTAAGGCCGCGAATATCTTGATTGACAGCAAAGACAATGCTTGGATAATCGATTTCGGAGGCGGTTTTACAGAGGGCTGGGTCGAGAAATCTCAGATGGACACAATCGAGGGCGATTTGACAGCTCTTGTCATAATTGAAGAACTTCTGCAGCCAGAAAAGACCCAAAAGAAGCGAGCCCTTGAAGAGAGCGATGGCACTCAGGCAACCAAGAAACCATTCGAGGTTCGCGTGGATGCGGTGGACTGTTGATCAGTTGCGGGGTGTATATTGAATCAGTCACTCATGTGCTTGTCTTATTAAGCTGGTGGTTCTTATTATTGCTATTGGAGATACGGCAACTGAATTTATCATCTATACGAAAACCGAACCTTCTAGTTAGGGTCATACTGCCCTTCTGCTCACCCTGTCAACGCTACAGCTGCTTGGTGCTTTCCTACACCGATGAATGGTGTCGCCTCCAGTCAGCGGTGCTCTGCTGCAGTTCGTAAAATACTGTATAACTTTTATTAGCTTAGCTGGTTTCTAAGACAGGGAAGAAAGAAAAAGATGTAGAATAAAAATAAATTCTGTATAATAATAATGTACCCATATTATTAGTACAGAGGGCAGTATCATGTATTCATACCTGGGCTGGTAACAAGCAGGGCTTCTGGTCTGTGGTTCAAAGGCGACCAGATGGAGTCCGGGAAATTAAGTACGAGCTTTCGAGAAAGCCTTTTACTTTTCCTTCTTTTTCGTCAGAGACTATGAGCTGATAGACACGCACCCTTATGACCTGCATCAGTGCCATAACCCCTCTGACTGCTTAGGGTCATCCTTGGATGCACATTCCCGATCTATCATTAAAATGAGGTGAGAGATGGACCACAGTGTTGTAACTTGTCCTCTTTCCATATCCACTGATAAGAACCACACCTATGCCACTGTATATCGCGTGGAGAGCGCAATTCTCCAAAGCTCGTCTCTAGCAGTAGAGATCTTGACTCACCAGATTTAGGGTGAGGGTCAGCCATTGTTTGAGTGCGTCGAATGGATAGAAATGAAATGAGACAGAGTACGAATCTCACACTTGTCAAACCCATCTCAGTGTCGAGACTGAAGGTAAGGAACGGTGTGCCTTGTCGAAAGTCAGCCCAGGGAAATCCACGCAGGCACACTCATCGAAACACCAGACCATTTCACAGGCGCACAACTGAGTATTATTCCATGGCGATCATTTGTATTTGTTGCCCTTTCTACGGTAGCTGACGGATCAGAGTCAGCAAAGTCCGCAGTTCATTTGATTTGAATGGGTGACGATCAAGCGTTGACTGAGGGAGAAGTAGAAAAAAGATGAGCAGCTGCCCGGCCGGAATATCAGCAGCATCCGAGGCCTCGATGGGAAACTGAATACGCCGAATACGGTAAGGAGCCGGGCCCCGAGTGTAACCTCGTCTAACTGGATGAGACCACTTCAGCATTCATGGAGCATGCTGAAGTGGTAAATGAGAGTGTGCATGCTGTCTTCATTGATATCCTAATTCATTTTCACCTTCAATTAACAATTGTGAGGGCGACTCGTATTCCGACGGATGGCCGTGATGCTGAGCGGCACATGGTAGTGCAGGGTTATCGGAGATGTAACAATCCAACAGGATTACTCGATAGTCGTCGCGTGCAATGATTCCAATTGCAAAAATTTTCGGGTGGAGAAGCCAACTTTCTGCTGGTTCCTCTAGTGGGTTCATGTCACAAAAAGGATCTACAACTTGTCGCTGTATTCGACAGTAGTCCGAGCATAGTTAGCATGCATCACTGACTAAGGAATATTCATAGGGCTATGTTCGGCGGTATCCGAGGAAGGCAAGTCATGGGATACGAGATTGTGAGACAGAAGGTAATGAATCATTCATTGTAGCGTTAGCCGCGTCAAGAGGTAGAGAGGAAAGCCACGGGAACGGGGGTTATTTAGTAAAACAATTGAATCATAAGACAAATACGTATTTCCAGCAGCAAATGAATACTACCTAGGTACGGAAAAAAAAAAAAGAAAAGAAAAAATATTGACCCGTGCACGCACGTTGTCACAAAACTTCCGAACTTAATCTGACAAGTACGGCCAACCCGATCCACGACTCCAGATAATCATGTAGTAATTATAACGCGAGGCGAATAAAATGCCTCATGCATCGTGCTGCACTCCAACTCGAAGCACCTGCCTATTTAGCTTAGCAACCTTAGCGTAGCTTAGTTGGACCACGAGCCAATCCACGTCCAGTTGTCCACAGCGCATCCCGGCGACGTTATTTTCGCTTACGACGGGTGCCCGCCATAATATGGAGCACAAACTATAGTACAGCCACTACTTAGTACTTAGTACTTGGTAGTACTTTCGTTTACGACGGCTACTAATCAGACCCTGAAACTCCGAGGGAATTAATCACTCATACTGACGCATAGCTTATTCGCATCCTGCGCCACGAAGACCGTCCGGATTGGCTCGAGCTTAAGCTTCGGGGAGGAGAAACGCAAGAAAGAGGTTAGTTGCCAAGATGTTGCCGATACTGCTCAGCCACCTCCATTCATTATTTTGTTTGGTGTTCTTTGGTTGCAAGCGAGGTGATCTCTTTGACATTTGCATCTGATCATCTGTCGTTCCCCTACGTCAGAGGGGGGATGATGGGGTTTTGGGGAGAGGGTGACAGATACGTTCTGACCGTCTATGGATTTTGATGCCATTTTTGAAGACATTGTTGATCTGGATCGGGGATTTTTCTACCTCTTCAACATTATAGAGCCAGTGATAAAGCTGAATCTGAAGGCGGGAAATAAGAACAAGAAAACAAAAAACAAAAAAAAAAGGGGAACCAAAAAGTCATAGCTTTGGAGCTACAGCATGAGCCACAATCTGCCCCGAGCGTCCCCCTTCCCAATTTCTTGACACTTACCGGATAATATCTCAAGACCACGACCCAATATTTAGCAAACCCGTACCTTAGTTCGGAAACCAGGCAGCAGGATTGCCCATCCCAAGGGGGTAACCCGGCGGGATTGAATGAATGGGACAAAAAAAACCACCCCAATGTATGAGGGAATTTGCTGCACCATTCCATTTCACCGTTTTGCCGCTCTCACTAACACAGATGAGGAATGTATGTACAGTACCTGGTAATCACAGCAGAAAATTAAGGGGAAAAAAAATCTCTTTGCCGCACAGGAAATTACCACAGCAGTTGCACTCAGCTGAGAGGGGAAAATCCCGCATAGTGAATGACTTGGTTTGTGCATCTCTTACCGATTCCATCCATGCAGCGATCTCAACTTTGTTACGTTCCCGTTACTTAGTAGGTACCTAGGTACTTGACCTAACTTCCTAATATGGACAGCGTTCCTTAGTAACTCCCGTAGCAGTGAGTAATCGATGTCATCGTAGTATAGTTAGGTAGTCGACCCTGGTGGCTGTGGCTGTCTTTTTTTTCCCTTCTTTCTTGTGATGCAGTTTTCCCTTTTTGACTTTTTTTTCCTTCTTTCTTTTTAATTTATTTTTATCTCCGCTTTGAAACCCCTCTGCTCACGTATAAATTTGGCCGTCACCCGTCTACCATGCTCGTCGATCCGCTCATACTCCTCAAGGGATGCTCATCGACGGTGAAAAGTGGGCTTGTGAAGCTTGCGTCCGCGGACACCGTGTGACGACTTGTAAACATCATGGTGTGTGTCTCTTGTCTACCTCCTCACTCTCCATCGTGGATTAAATATCTAACTATCGACCCCAAAACCCCCCAGATCGACCGCTAATCCGCATCAACCGGAAAGGTCGACCCTTCTCCACCTGCTCCGTATGCAATAACACCCCCTGCCCAACACCAGAAGAGCATACCAAGCTCAAACGCGAGGCCGAGGCCAAATCCTCTTCAAAAGTACAATGTGACCACGCACCACCACCTGAGACCCCTCTGAACCTATAACCAAAGCAAAGAAAAAAGAAACTCTGAATGAAGAAAAACCAAAATCACATATAAGCCACACACACACACTCACACACTGGCACAAACATTTTGTTGTTAAACACCGCAGGCTGATGTTGGGTTGTTTCATTGAGTTTCGCTTGTTCCAGAGAGGTGCCGCTAGAGTCTCTTCGCGTTCGAATTCTGTCTTAGTTCCCATTGCGCCGAGACCGTCGTCGAATTCGCCGAGCCCCCAGAGTCGTCCCCAGATCATGGCCGGTTCGAGTCCCGTCGTGTCTGCGCCCCAGCAGCAGCAGCAGCAGCAACAACTGCTGGTGCAGCCGTTTCAGCCGGAGCTGCACCAGTCGTTTGCGCGGTCGAGTATGACGCTGCCGTTCACCGGTGGCGAGTTTGTGGCGCCGGCGTGTGCTCGATGGGTGATGTGCCTGTGTCGCTGTCGATGATTAGTCCGTTGGATGCGGATCCGACGGGGCGGTTGTTGTTTGGGGAGGCGGAGTTCGGGGATGGGGGGTTCTCGTTGGAGGATTTGGATGTTGGGGCGCTGGAGAGGGAGGTTCTACAGGAGGATTGGTCGTGGTTGTCGGAGAATGCGCTCTAACATTTGTGGTGGGTGGGATCGGTAGGGATGGGCTCTAAAAGGTTTCTCACGATGATGACGATGACGATGATGAGTGATGATCTTGTGTTTTTATCATTGGGTGGGTTGTTCTCTCTCTTCTTTTTTTTGGATTTAGCTTGTATGCTTAAGGGGGGTTACATTCTTTCGTGCATATATGTTCGTGCCAGTACCATAGATTATGGTCAAGTACATAGGTCTGTGACCTCAAGACAAATGCTATGCTCATCGAGAAAAATAGAACTGCCAACTTCTATACAGCCGAGACGAATGCTTGCTACATGATACTATGCCAGGATGTGCAGCGGCCAATAACAAGAGGGATACTAACAATAGCCAGACCGCTAACCCAAAAATAATAAACCTCAGCTCCGGGCTCCCCAATGCAAATGACAGACAGAAAATATACCTTCCGTGCGTGTATATACATCGGTACAACACGGAATCTTGCGACTGATCGACCATGATAGATCCAACTACACCTCCTGGATGTAGTTGGCGGGCACACTCTTGGTCACTCCCCCTCTTTCCACGTCGGCCCATCCGTCACCGCCGTCTCGGTTAACCAGCACAAAGCGATCGCCTTCCGCCATGCTCCATTCCATGTCGCTGCGAGCCTCGTAGTCGTACAACGCCTCCACGTACTTGAGCTTCTTAGCGCCCCGGCGAGGAGCCACAGCTGGTCCAACCTTCTTGCCCGCAGCACTACCTACCATTGAGGCAGAGGAGCTGGAATAAGTGGACCCCGGGCGGTCAGCCATCCCGGGGCTCGCGGGCGCTACGGACGCCGCGGGTGCCGGTTCCACGTAGGAGGCTGGGACGAGACCCTCGGCCGATCCAACACGAACGCGCATCCATCCAGACCCATCTAATTAAGGATGAAAAGTCAGTAAGGCTGCAACATTTCTCTTGAACATGCGGGAAACCTCACCATCCGGTTCAACAATAGTTACATCATCCCCATCTTGAACGGTTATCTCGTCGGCCCCTCCGGCTTGGAATGGATAGATCATCTTCCCGCGTGGTTCGCTTGGCTTCGTTGATTCAGCTACTGGCGGAGCCTTAACATATTGTGCAGGTGGTGGAGCTAAAACCCTATTTCTCTTAGGCTTGGTCTCCTGAACAGGGGCCGGAGTTGTCGCCGCTTCTGGCACTGGGGATGGAACAGCCGATTCGGTCGGGCTAGCCAACGCGGGCTGGCTGGCGGCGTTGGACAGCGACCGGTTAGCACTAACTGCATACCCAGAGCTCAATGAGTTCATCGTATCCTTCCGAGTTAGGGACGGCGCGGCAGAGGAACCAGTTGTTGTTGGCTCAAGGTCGAGTTGTGGCGTAGCATTGGCCTGTTCTTGTCGTTCCACTTTGAGCTTCTTTTTCTCTTCCTTACTCTGTTCACCAGGACATTCGGCAGGGACTTTCATTTGGCATTTGCTGTGACACGTATACCCGCAATCCCGGCAATCGAACCCCTTCGCCGAGAGTCCCCATATCCGCTCCCCGCAGAGGTCACAATTGGTCGGGATTTTGAACGTTTGCGACTTGAAGTTGTGATTCTTGGCACCCAACGATAGATCACCTACTACTGACATAATCGTAGATGTTTCGACTTCAGCAGTGAGCTTCTTGCGTTCCACTTCATGCAAAGCGCCCTGCAGGTAGAAGATAGATCGGACTATATCGACCTCGCTACGGTTGTCTTTGCCTTGTTGGATGCTCTCGCGGATCCGCTTGGATGTTTCCACGTCCCTGCGTTTCTGGTCGGCCTCAACCCTCAGTTCCCGAACTTGCGTTTTACTCTTGCTGAGCAGGTTGCGCAAGAAGACCTTTGCAGTCTCGTCGGTGATAAGCGCTTCGTCATCGTGCCAAATAGGGCTCGGCTCGAAGGTCATGTTCGGTGGTTCCTGTGACTGGCTGACATTGTGGCGCAAGAACATGAGTGAATCGAGGTGTGGGACATTCCGTGGGATTTCGTTGAGTAGATGGGACATATGTTCCATACTCTTAGACAGAGAAGACTTCTCCAGTTGCGCTGCAAGTGACCATAGCGAATTCAACTTGGATACGCGCATTTCGTTGAGGTTTTGCAGGCTCTGGAAACAGTATTAGCTATATGGATTTCGACCCCTAGGGTCCTTTCTCACATCTAGTAGCTCCGGGACGTATTCGTGGTAGAACCGTTCCTTCAACTTGTTCGTCACGTTGATGCTGATGAGGTACGTATTCTGCCTCGGTTAGTAACGGTCTTCAGGCAGAAAGGTGCTACCAACTTTGACGTTGTTCATTTCCAAGATCTGCTGCTGATATGCAGCCTGGGCCTTGGCTTTACCATGATCGAACGAATTCTCCATCTTTTTCCGCCTACCCTCCACTTCTTGGCACACCCCATCGTATTTGCCCTTTGCCTTCTTGAGGTCGCCGTAGGCAGCGTCTCTTTCCTTTTCCAGCTTCGCATGAAATTCGACGTGAGACTTTCGGATTTCCTCATATTGCGTCGCAGCTTGTTTCAGAGGTTCCGCAACCTGGAAAACGAGGTCTGTAGCGAACTGATCACGTTCCCCCGCATGCGATTCAACGGCTGTCAGGTGCGTAGTCCAAGTGGTAAGTGAAGCGCTTTCGAGGGAGCCTGGGGTCATGGTTGGAGTATCTCCGACGCTCAATGCGCTTATTTTCTTGGCTTTGCGATCGTGGTATTTTCGGCAAAGGGCCGTCAGCTTGGCGGCGTACTCCTTTTCGATGGCGCTCCGTTCCCGGTAGAACTGTTGTATCTCGTCGAGCCATTGTACCCCGTGGGAGACCTAGTCAGAAGAGCTATTAGTAACAGTCTGCTAAAATCAATGCCACAACTGTGTTCAGTGAAGCATGGAGATAGTCGTGGGAAGTGACAAAGGAAACATACCCAATTGTTGACTGGCTTGAATGCATCCTGTTGTACATTCGCGTTAGATATACCCTTCTCATCGTATCTGAACGGTGAGTACCTTTAGTTCCGCTCCAAATTGAGGAGCCACATCGGGTGTTGCCATTGTAGATGTGACAGCCCCTCAGAGATCGCGCGCATGAGACTTTTTGATGTCAAGGACAAAACTTTAAGACACAAATCTGTTAGATTTAGGCAGCTATGATTGGAACTGACTCTGCCACGTACCTCCACGTGCTGTCTTGTCTTGTGCGACGGGAATGCCTCGTCGTGACTTCGCTTTGGAGAAGAAAGGAGTGGCCAACCGCTAAGCGCATCTGTACCTGACAATCTATCTACCTGAAGGGGTCGGCCGAAGCGGGGAAGATGGCTGGAGTAACGCCGGTGACAATACCGAACGACTGTCTCAGGCCACGTTGGCGGCTCTCAGACGCCCACCAGGGCCAAGATAGGCGTAATATTACGTCATGGCTGTCCGTACTGAACCACACCCTCCACCGCCTTCCGTATAACGTTAGATGATATCTGCTCGATCGTTCGCCTAACCAGGAATAGTGTGTTTGCAGTATGCTGGGCGGTAGGTGTTGGGTTTTTTGGCTGTCGTCACGTCCCTCTGAGAAATATACCTACCAGGCGCATATATAGCTGCTGTGGTACTACTCTTAGCTTCTGCGTCTGAGGAAGACTGTCTCAATACCTAGTCTTTCCAACCCTCTTGCTACAGAGGTTTTCACTTTCTCTTCCACATACCTCTCCCGATCGATCTTTTCTGTTCCAGCGAGCTCGCTTTACCCCGCGGCCCTCTCTTCACCGTCTTGATCGCCTCTGCCTCGCCCTGACAGCCTTCGTCCAATCACCTAACTTTCTCTATTCCGCAAAGCTCCTTCACGATGTCTGCAGAACAACCTACTGAAACTGCCTCCGCTGGTAACCCTCTGGCTGATCGCATCACCACGGCCGATGGATCGAAACCTGAAGGTATGCGTCATTCCGTGTTGCCAATAGCAGTCGCCATACGTGATCCATACGACACTTGCTAATGTCACTTCCGTGCAGAAACTACCGAAAAGACCGACAATGAGCAGGCCGATGGCGCTGCCACACAGTTGGGCGGCTCGGAACTTAACGAGCCTGAATACACGGTCGAAGTCAAACTTAGCGATCTCCAGGCGGATCCTAACAACCCTCTTTTTTCCGTGAAGAGCTTCGAGGACCTTGGACTGTATGTAAAACCTTGTGCTTTGGATCTGCCATCCTGTCCCCGCTAAAGAAGTGTCGATCATCAGGGACAATCGCATCTTGCAAGGACTGTCTGCCATGAACTTCCGTAAACCTTCAAAGATTCAAGAAAGAGCGCTCCCGTTGCTCTTGAACAACCCTCCGAAGAACCTGGTCGGCCAGTCCCAGTCGGGTACCGGAAAGACAGCTGCGTTCGTCCTCAATGTCCTTAGCCGCTTAGACCTGTCAACAGAACAGGCGCAAAAGACGCCCCAGGCTCTGATCTTGGCTCCAACCCGAGAGCTGGCCCGTCAGATCGTTGGTGTCGTCCAGGTGATGGGCCAGTTCCTGGACGGTCTTTCCATCTCTACAGCCGTTCCTGCAGACACTAACAGTCGCCATTCGAAGATCGAGTCCTCCGTTGTCGTTGGTACTCCTGGAACAGTCATGGATATGATCAAGAAGCGTATCATGGTTGCGAATAAACTGAAGGTTCTTGTTTTGGATGAGGCGGATAACATGCTCGACCAACAGGGTTTGGGCGACCAGTGTATTCGTGTCAAGGCGTGAGTTCCTAGGTCTTCCCTGTGTTTAAGTTAGGGCAGTTTCAGCTAACCGTACACAGGTTGCTGCCAAAGGATATCCAAGTCGTTCTTTTCTCCGCCACCTTCCCCACCCACGTTCACCAATATGCGTCCAAATTTGCCCCGCAGGCCAACGAAATTACGCTGCAGCACGAAGAGCTGACCGTCGAGGGCATTAAGCAACTTTACCTTGACTGCTCCGACGAGGAGGATAAGTATAAGACTCTTGTTCAACTTTACGGTCTTCTTACCGTTGCCTCCTC